AGAGAGAGAGAGAGAATGTCAAAGGTAAATCTTAGTTCATGTAGTGCTCTCATCAGTCAAAACACATGCAACGCTTTGTTGTTTCAATCTGTCAAGAAAGGTTTTGATTGTGAGATCCCCTTTTCCCTATAATTTAATAACATATTCGTATGTTACGGCTATGGAATCATAAATGGTAAAAAGAAAAATTGAATTCATAGAGGAAAAATGGAACATAACATACCTTCTCCATAATTTGTTTAACTTCATATGCAGAAATGTCTATTAGTTGCTCAATATGGTTGTTGAGAATTGTGATTCTCTGATAAAAGTGTTCCTCACCTTCGAGAAGGTTATCTATAACAAATCTGTGTTTAAAAGATAATTTAGCTCTATATGACTCCAAAAATAATTTTTGTAGTAAAGAAATTTTTTGATAGATGTCGTACTTTTTGGTTGACTTATCAAAAAAAAGTGGTTATCATTATCAAATATCTGACTTATTGCTAATTTAGAACACATAATACCAATATAATTCGATAATACACCTTCAATTTATTTATTTTTTCTTTGCAATAAAAAGAGAAGATTAAGTATTTTAACTTGTGATTATATGTTGCATAAAATAGGTGTCAAAATTTTTTATGCAATATGAAACTTTTGAAGTTCATGCATCGAGGAAAGAAATATTTGTATATAAGAGTAAAAGATCAGTAAATTTATAAAAACTTTCAGAGTGATAGAGCTTAGAAAGGGTGTACCTTTCTTACACGATATAATGTATTTCTTGAACATCAATCGATGAATAATTTTGGGTGGTTCACCTTCTCTTCATATGTGAAAAAATTCGGACAATACGACACATAATTGCAAATGATTCTTTAGATGATTTGAAATTATTAATTTTTTAATAAATACAATGAACTGTTGCTGAAAAACATAGAATAACTTACAAAGGTAATAAGAATTAGAATATTGAGTCTGACAAAGAAGTAATAATCGTTGTGATATTAGTTGAATTTACTGGGATTTCTGTTATAATTAATATATACGATTCAATAGCATATTGGTTATTGTGCATTTGTTAATTTTAATTAACAGACGTTACCTATGTATTATTGAATTTTGATATATGCAAGAATGATGGTCTTTCAACTTTGAGAAGAGTTTGCTCCCCATAGTGTTATTGGAATGCTTTAAATTCTTTTAAAATATTAGTGAAGTTTAATTGCACATGAAATATAAAGTGTTTTATGATAAATATGAAAAGTAGGGATATGGTATACCTTTCATTCATTAGGCATATATTTCTCATATCAAAATTTGCCTTGGACGAAAATTCTTCAATATTTGTGATAATGCCTATTATATCTGTGCAAGAAATAAATTTTATGAATAAAAAAGAATACAATGTAATAGAAAAATTATAGCTATATATGGTGTATGTTATAAATTTGTACCTACGTTTAGAGCTTCAATTTTATATCAAGAGGGAATGCTAAAATATACAAAATTATAGTTTTTCCATTGGAAACTCCTCATTCTTTATAGATTGTTGATTCCTCATGAATGATCATGTCATACATGTTTTCAAATAGCTATAGATAAATGCAAAAATAAATAAAATAAAAATAAAAATAAAAAGTTAATGTGTAAAATGGGTAAAATTCTTCTTTATAGAAAATCCTCATTATGAAATATTTAAAATAGAGAGAGTAGGAAATGCAGAAGATACAAAAATTAAAATAGAGAGAATAAGGAATACCTGTGAAGAAAAAAGTTAAAATGTCTGAGTTAGATCAAATGTCTGGGTTAGATCCCAAAGTTGCTACTCACAAGCTTGATATCGACCTATCTATGAAGCCGATTAAGCAGGCTCCTCCGAGATTTCAACCTGGGATAGCTAAGGTAAATAAGCTGATAAAAGCGAATTTATCAAAGAAGTGTAATATTCCACATGGCTGGAAAATATAGTATAAAATACAAGAATGGCCAAATCCATGTTTGCATAGATTTTTGCAATCTAGCTCAAAGGATGACTTCCCTCCCTCTGTAAAAGAAATGATAATTGACTCCATGGTAGTGTTTACACGCAAAATCTTGGACGAAATAGACTACCTAAAGTCCATCCCATCCTGATTCATGAGTTTACGAAATAGACTACCTAAAGTCCATCCCATCCTGATTCATGTGTAAACTCGTTAGTTAAATCTCTGTAAAACGAGGTCCTATCAAATTCAAATTTGTGAGAAATAGGTCTTGGAAGAGATTTCTTTCTCATATATCATTAGCTAAGAGCCGGCTCTGATTTGTATAAACCCAAAAAAATTGGTGCTGGAAAATAAGTGCAGAGGTTTTAAAAGGGGTCAAAATAGAGAAGCAAATAACTAAAGGAAAGTGCAGAAGATAAACAATGGAAAGAACAATACTTAGGAAGCTTGCCGCTCTAGCCTGGGGCCCCAAAGCACAAACTTATGCACGGCTCGACATGCATCACCCTACATACTGGCCCCCAAATTTTGTTGCAGATGTTGGGTTCTTGATTGGTAACAGTTCTCGTCAATTTTGGATCTTTGGTTCAGTCGTTTCAGATTTTCTCCTACCATAATAACTTTGGTCTTGATTTTCCTTAAAAATGGGTGGAAATAATCATTTTATAAATCAAAGAGGCCCGGGACCGTGTGGCCAGCTGTTCGGTTCAATAGGAGCCGTACATTGGCGTGCGGCTCAGTATGTGTTGGACTTGTACACATGATATTCTACGGGTGAACTGACAAGCATAAATTTCTCGTGGTCAATGGTTCTTCGCTAGTTTATGTGATTTGATGAGGAATACATGCCCTTTCTCAGTTTGGAATGGAATTTATGCTTTTAACTCCCATGTGTCCTATATTATCCCATTTTGAGGATTTTTAAATATTCTCTATGCTCTATAGGGAGTAAAGATCATGTTTTGGGGTATCATAGTGTGTACAAACCTAATATGATTCCAAGGGTAGAACTTAGAAATAATTCAAAATTAAGAAGGAATGTCCACGAGCAGCATGTCAAGTTCTTTCTTTCATGAATGGCTACTTAAGGTATAATCAGCTTAGGATGTCCCAGAGTTGATGGCTACATATTGATGTGCAATGACAGTCATCATTAAGGATATTTTGAACGACCTCTTTCAGTGTTACATGAATGACTTGGTTATCAAATCTAAAGATTGTTCCGCTCATACATTGACGATGCTTGAGGTAGTGATTGAAAAGCTATGAAAATATCAGCTCAAGATGAATCCTCTGAAATATGCTTTCGAAATCAGATCAGCCAAGTTTCATGGTTTTGTGCATCGAGGGATTGAGATTGATCCTGTGAAAATCAAGGCAATATGGGATATGTTGCCACCAAGAAACCTTTGAGAATTAAAGTCCTTACTAGGAAGACTTGCCTATATCTCTTGAAACCACAAGTCTTTATGACACCAATTTTAGGCGGGTTGTTAATATTGTACACGACCTCCTTGGAAGGGTCATATGGTGCCCTTATTGCACAACTTGATGATGAAGGCATTGAGGTTGCCCTATATTATCTATGTCACACCACAATGGCAGCTAAAATACTTGATGACATGACTAACTTATCAGTGGCATTTTTGGCAAATGAGTTCTGCTCCTTATGGGATTTGAATTACCTCTGTCTCGTATACTGTTCTGAAAGGACAGGCTCTTGTGAACTTGTGAAGATCATCCAGAGGAGGAAGTGATGTGGACTCAAGAGGAGCCAAATTAAATGCTATTATTTGATGGTGTATCTCAAAAAAAGGGATCTATAACTAGAGTTTTGTTGCCAAATTAAATGTTATTCTTTGATGGTGCATCTCAAAAAAGAGGGATCTATAACTAGAGTTTTGTTGATGTACACTCAGGAGGAGAGAAAATTAGTTGTTATTCTCTCATGGTGCATCTCAAGAAAAAGGATCTATAGCTAGAGTTTTGTTAATGTCTCCAGATAAGAATCTCCTCCCTTATGCGCTTTCTCCGGAAAAGAAATACTTTAACAATGAGGTAAAGTATCATGCCTTTTGTAGTGATTCTTTCATGATCAGCTCTTGTAAATACATTTAGGGGATTTTATCAAAAAACTTCTAAAATAGTAATTATTTAGTATTTCACCCTTATTTTTTATTTAATTTTAAAATCCTCATCAGAAAACACATGATTTTGACTTGGAATAGTAAAGAAAAAGGTAAAACTTAAATCGCTGAAAAGTGGTATATTTCGATAAATTTATCATTCACTTGTGAGGAATCGTACTTATTAAAGTAGCTTTTATAAATAGATAGATTTTGAATTACTTGAAGGGAATAAGTACATGTTTATTTTGATCATTCCAAAATATAAAGAATTTGCATTTCTTACTTAATGACTCATTGTCGTTAAAGTCTTCCTATTACATCAATTCAACAAATCAAATGCCTACACAAGAATAGACCCCACGGACTGATTGGAGGGCTTGGTTGGAATACAAATAATCAAAATAAAAGAAATCAGAGAATCCAATCGTCAGCTATGAATGTGGCAACAACTTGAGAGTCTCATCTGATGGAGGGGGTGTGAGGAGATCTTTGCAGCCGAGTTCTCCTCTCATTGGACAATAACTTCGCAAACCTACACAAATATATTAAAATTTAGAAAGTTCTATACTTATAATTTCCAATAAATCTCAAGCAGACTTTCTATTTCCTTGCTGTAGGTTTCTGTTTTTTGCTAATAAAAGGAAATTTGTCAAAATTCAAGTAAATTTTTAATTATGTAATAATTTGCCCTTTATTAAAATACACGTGACTTTTTAATTATGTAATAGTGTATTATTTTTCAACTATTCCAACTCATGGTCATGCGTATTGTGACAAAAATTTAAAATTAAATAAAAAAACATAGATAAAACATTGCAAAGTAGATGTCTTACTTATATTTTGATATATTTCTCGCTTATAAACAACAGCCATACTTCTATTTCCTTTATATGGAATTATGTTTACTAATAAATGAAGTTTCGTTACCCAAGGCAAGATATTCTATTAAACCGAAAAATCATTTTGTGCTGGTGGCTTATTGATGCATTTGAGTTTGATGTTTGCATACAACGAAAAGAAGAGCATACGAAATTTGTTAAGAGGGCATTTAAGATAGAAGTAGATTTAAGTACCTGATTAGTGCTTGTTCATTGGTGCCTTCATTTGGCACTGCCTCAAATTTCCCAGTCTCCAGGTTTACCCTCGAAACTGGCTTTTGCAAGAGTTCTTTACCCACCTTCACGAGTTCTTTTAGGTTTTTCTCGGTTGCAATGTCGACGGACGATGTGTCTCCTGTTAATGTATCATCCTGACAACAATAATATCATAATTTAGAGTAGTGCTTTTGGGATTGAGATGGAGAATCAATGGGGACTAAACTTGTTTCGAGATGATAAGAGTCTCAGCAAGTTCTCCCCTAAACCACCCACTTTATATTTCTTTTTTATTTTTCCTGAGCTTATTTAATTCCCCCTAAATTTCCACCCAAAGAAGCCTTTCTTAATTTTTATTTCATTTCATGTTTATTTTTATTTCTATTTTTATTTATTTTTCTATACCGCCACCTATCCAAAACAATCCAGATTGTGAATCTAGTGATCCAACATGAGGTCAAAGATCCACCTCACTGGTCAGCATTTTAAAAGACTGATTCAGAGACTTCGCATACAGAGAAATTTGGACAGGGGACTTTGACCCCTCTTATTTATCCCGATATTGTATGCCCCCACAATCCCGCATGTGTACATGTATGCATGCATATGTCTTATGTACATGTCATTCGTACATGATCCAACATATAAGAATTAGTTTTCGCGTGGCACACATTCATACATATATATATATATATATATATATATATATATACATCACGTCACATATAACAGTGGCATATGCTAACACAAACCGCAGGCATTGGTAAACATTTTTGGTTATGTTGTGTGTGTGAGAGAGAAGAGACCTGAATTGAGAGAAAAAGACGGAGAGAAGAGACCCGGATTGAGCAGAGAGAGATATGAGACCTGAATACGGAGATAGCTTTGCTCAGAATGAAGAGCCTGAAAGACATTAGAGATATGGATGTCGACCATATCTGCACTTGCTTGTTGAAATGTGTCAATGAGGGGAGTGCCTCCATTGTTGTATAACCAACCCAAAACACCCCATTTAGCAGCGTCTTTTGCAGTATAATTATCAGTAGATTTTGCAGAACCAGTGCCGAGTGAGATGACGAGGAATCGACCATAATCCATGGGTTTGATGGGAAAAAAGTCGGGATTCTCCTTATGTACCTCTCTTGTTATCTCACCCATAGCCACAAGTGTCTGAAAAATGAATTTAAAAATCCATGTTAGACGTTCCATCTATTAGAACAGCATTCTTGATCTATTTTCTCTCGTCTGAAACTTTTGTTGGACAACCACGAGAAAATAGATTCCGGCTTCCACAAATTTGTTTAAAATGAGATTGAAAATCTTGGGTTTGATCGAGATATTATGATTTTTTGTCCTCATTGATGAAACTTCTTGCCTAACCTACCAATAAATTCGAAGAAATTTTAGAATTCAAATCAGTGTTATTTTTTTAAATTTTAGAAATTCAACATCAAAACATCGAAATTGAAAATCTAATAGCTTACGGGATTATTCGCTGCCATCGCTCCATCGACCAAATGGAATCTTTTAATCTTCCCATCCTTCCCTTCATTCTCAAAATAATGGGCTGGAAGGTATGTTGGAGCAGCCGATGTGCTAATGCAAATGTCAGATAACAATGCATCCTTCGATTTATCAGCTTTTATCTGAATAAAGATAGGCAACATGTTCATTGGAATTCAAAGAGAGAGTTGTGGGAGAGGGAGAATATTTGGGCGAGGGAAAGAGAGAGATGTTACCTGGTAGGAAGAAAAGATGGTGGGCTGCAATAATAGGATATCAAATGCAGGAATAACAACTTTGGTCAGTGTTTGATGAAGCCTCTTATCACCCAACTGCTTCCTCACAAGCTTGTGAAGGTACTTTCCATTGTATTTGGGGCCCGTTATGGCACTCACAAACTTGCGGGCAGATCCAAGAAGCCCGCTGCATTACAAGAGAGAGAGAGGGTAACTCATTAATACAACAAACAATGACCTCATGTATTCTTGGGCTGGAATTAGAAAGTGATTTTTTTTTTTTCATGATTAATTAGTTTACCTTTGTTGGGGGAAAATTTTGGGGCAATGATCAAGGTAAAAGGAGGTGATGTCTTTGGCAGCATAGAGAGGGCGGTTGTTATCTCCTGGTGCTGTGATCATCGCAGTAACAAGGCCTCCTGTGCTCGTCCCAGAAATCACATCGAAATAATCGGCAAGTCTCACTTCCTCACCATCCAGTTTCTGTTTGTATCAACATGAAAACAGTATATAATTAACGTTCTTTACTAATCCAGCTTCTGTGTGTTTCAATATGAAAAACCGTATATAATTAACATTCTTTCATAAAATCTATTTACAAGGAAAAGGATGAGTACCGACTTTCCAAGTTTTAAAAAGCAAAATGATTACAAGAAGTTACTGTAGCTGAAGAGAGAGAGAGAGAGAGGGCATACTTGAAGTTCAGATTCAAGAAAGCTAAGGATGGTTGAGGGAATAATTCCTCTTATTCCACCACCATCAATGCTCAGAATTGTTATCAAATCCCCATAAGTGGGAGGCTGGTTCATGCTCGATAATCTCCTTTCCATCTCTCCCTAAACTCTATGAAAAAGTCGAATCCTTTTAGGGATGATGGCAATCAAAGTATTAGGTGTTAGTTATAAGAGCTTAGGGCAAAGTGCAAAAGTAAAGTGGGATAGAGAGATATGCAGAGGTTTTGGAGAGAGAGAAGTTGTGCAACTTCGTTTTAGAGGGAGGCTGGCCTTTGGCTTTGCAAGTGAAGTGGGACAATGGGTTTATATAGGCGAGGGCCAGGCAAAGTTCAGATGGTCAATGCCTGAAACTGAGAATGAATGGTAAAAGAAAAAGAAATCGGAAAAAAATCGTGCTCAATTAACTCGGTCTATGACGTAGTCAAATTTCAAATGGTCCCTCCAAGGCTACATAACATTCGCCAAACTTCCAAATAGGACTCGTCCAAAAGAACCACTTGCACCACTTTCAGGGGGCCCACCTGAATGGCCAATACTATTTACTCTTCCGACGGCCGTATACCAAGATAGACCCACAAGGACATGTATGATCTGAATGTAGTACGAGATTGTCTGAGGTCACAAGCCCTTAGATGTCAAATTGGACGTTTTGAGATGTGCCATAAAATTTGAGAATTTTCTAAATCTAGTTAATAATACATTTAAAACCACGTGATTTAAAATTTGATACACAAAATTGATTATACGTCTTTGCATTAAAGCTAAATATTTGCATAATTTATTCCTAATCTATAATACGCAAGGTTCTTCTTTCAAATAATTAAAAAAATAATATAGAATAAATTATTTGAGCTGTTAAGAAAATTCCCTTATATTTGATGTCAACTTAAAATCAAATTTTGATTGAGAGTCAATTGTCGAGGAGACATGAAGTTCAGAAGCGAAAGATTGATTTAATAAATTGAACAGCGAAACTTCGGTCTTTTTACAATTGATAGGGATTGAAGTGTAGGATTGATTTTAGAGGAATGTTACACATTAATTACAATTTAGATAGAAAATGTACGTGCCACCTGTCGGGAGAAGGCCTCCTACCCGGTTTAAAAACTACTTAAGAATTACTAGATAATTATTTAAACAAAAAACTAAATTATATTTAAGTTTTTTAATACTTAAACTTCACCATCTAAAAATTAGACGGTCTCTATTCAATCTCATAACATTATTTTTTTTTCGAGTGCATAGAAAGGTGTATAATTAGGAATTTTTTATTGAGTCATATTATTAATACTAAATGAGATTTTACTCAAGGGAGCTAAGAATGACTCTTGAAAATTCGTACTAGTTTCATAAATCATGACCATATTTGCACAAACTGCTGCAGAGAATGAACGGCAACTAACCTCTGGTTCCTCACCTCTCTCTCTCTCTATTGTTTGTTCATTCAATTGGCCATGGTTTTCACTGTACTTAAGAACAAATATTTTTCTTTTCTTATAAAAAAATATCGGACGAATATTGAGTTTGCCGGATTTCCGAAACCTGAGAACCGCCTTATTGGACCATGGCATCCATTTCTTTCTGGGTTTTCCTGGCGGCCATGCTAGCTTTCAACTCTCAATTCATCTCTCTCGATTACGGCCTCGTGTGTACGAAAAGGGATTAAGTCTACTTTCTTTATTACTGTTTCAACTGCTAGTCCATTCCATTTCATTGGTCTTTGAACGGAAGGTTTAGATTTTTAGACAAATTGATGAATTCAATTGTCATGTTGTACCCAATTATTGCCTTGCTATAATTCAAAGAAAGCTAAGTTCTTGTTTGGTAGATCTTTACTCAATTATTAAGTAACATGTGAATGGTTTGGGATTAGGATATCAGTTGCAACGAGTTAGGCTCTAATATACAATTCCTTGAGTTCATTGAATCTTGGTTTTGCCATGATAGAGAAAAAGAAGATCCAGAAGAGCACGAATGGTGGAAGAGTGAGGGACTTCGTTGAGACCTTTTTTTTTTAGGTAATTCAATGGGGATGAGGAGTTTCTACTTGTTTTTGAAATCGTTAATGTTTTTTGAATGCGTTAGGTGAGAATGGAAGCTTAGATCTTGCTGGGTACAAGTGACGCTACCACCATGACCCCAACCCCATTCTTTTTGTAGGGATCTTATGTCATGAGAGAGAAAAAGAGAGAATGATTGGAAAAAAGAGAGAGAATGAGTTCGCGGGGACGTTTTGTGATAAAGCCATCCACTAGTCCGATGGCTTCGTATTTCTTAAGAAAGTTTTGAGTTTATTTCTCGTTCTTTAATTATTAGTAATTGATGGGTGAGTTTGGGTGGGAAGCCCATTTTCACTTAACAAAATAAAAGGTTTCAAAAGGAAAAGAGAGCGAAACTGGTGTGAGATTGAACCTGGACATGGTTCCCACGCATGGACCTACTTCCTGTGATATTTGGTCAAACACTCATCCATAATTTTCCGAAAAGCCCTGCTCTTTTGCTCTTTAAGAAGACTAGCTAGATGCAGGAGCATCTGTTCTTTCAAGTGTATGAGATACATAAAGAAGTTTAATTAAAAAGTACCAAAAGAAAGTAGAAGTTCAAATGTTATGTCTCTCAATATGAGATATCAAGATTTTCGTATAAGAAAAGAGAACCACATAAAGTATGTGAAATAAGATATCCAGATGTTTTATAAGCAGTCTTATTATTAATACCTAATCTACAGGCACTCAGAATATTAGATATTGGGAGAGAGAGTTCAATATGTCAAAAGTAAATGTTGGTTCATGTAGTGTTCTCATAAGTGGTTAGTTTAACTGAAAGACATTCCGACATTGTTGTTGTGCTTGTTTCCTATAATTGGCACACAAATTTTAGAACACATGCAATGCTTTGTTGTTTCAGTATGTCAAAAATGGTTTCGATTGTGTGATCTCCTTTTCCCTGGAGTTTAATGACATGTAGTTTATTATGGTTTGGGAATCAGAAATGGTAAAAAGAAAATTGAATTCTTAATGGAAAAAAAAGGGGAAAATAGGATATAGCGCATCTTCTGCATAATTTGCTTAACTTCATCTGTAGAAATGTCTATTTGTTCTGTATGGTTGTTTAAAGTTGTGATTCTTAGATAAAAAGCATTCCACATCTTCGAGAAGGATATCTATAATAAAACTGTGTTTAAAAATTAATTTACGTATATATAACCTCGAAAAAATTTCACGCAGTAGAGAAAGTTTTGATAGATGTCATACTTTTTGGCTGCATTATCATTTGTTATTTGGTGAGATGTGCAAATGAATTCTCTTTCCATTCTTTTGAATATAGCTTTGGAACATTTCATGCACCCCTCATACCAACTATTCTTTATGTTAGAATTTCGGTAGTTCCTTTAATTTTTCCAAAAATTGGTCTCAATTGTTATTAAAAAAAAGGGAAAATAACATACATATCCGTTATACTTTGCGTTATTACGGATGTATCAAATAGTTTCCGTTATTACATGTATGTCTGTTTTTTACTATTTATAACGTAATTTTTTTAAAAAATACGACTTTGCTCTTTTTCGAATATTGAACATCCAAAAATAGGCCGAAAGTGTAACGTTTACATTCCCATTGTCAGGTGTTGAACATTGAAATTGAAGGGTTTTTGGATGTTCAACATCTGAAAATGTAATTTTCAAATATTCATCATCCGAAAATGACTATACCGCATCTAAATGAACAATTGTTTTTTCTTTTAAAGATCCAATCACTTTAGATTTTCAAGAATAAAGAACACTTTCGGGAGAAAACGATAAAAAATATATAAAATGGGTATCGTATTCACATATTTAAGAGTGTTTTTAAATAACATAAATAAATAAAAAAGGTGCAATCCCAAGGTAAAAAGCATCCATCTTTACGTGGCCATCTTAAAATGTGAAGCTAACAATCCAATTGACTTTATGTATTCTTTATAAAGTAATTATTTTTATTTTTTTAAATTTATCTATTTTTTTATATTCATGATCTTTATGTCAGAGATTACATATCTTTAAATATTGAATCCGAAAATCCATCTCACAAATAGATTTTTAAGAATCCACTCATTTCTACATGGACTCATTGAAACCTTATCCATAAAACAAAAGATGTTTGTTTAAATTACTCTCTATTTCAGATTTTTCTGGGACCATGGGACATGCCACCACTTTAAATAGTTCAAAATTATTTAACAAACAACTACTGGGCCAGTCCAACATAAAATCGGGCGAGTAAACTGAAACCAGCCGCTTGCCAAGCCGGTTTTGCCCTGTTTGGAAGTCCAGCCGGTTATTTTTAAAAAAATTTAAAAATTATATGCATAAAATCCCAAAAATAAGTGACTTTTTGCTAATGTGTTTATGAATTTTTTGATGATTGTGACAAATATTAGAATGTGTTTTGACCATCAATACTCATTTTTACAATTTTTTTTTCTTTTTTTCTTTATTTCTAAAATACCTCTTTTTTAATATCCATTTTTTCACTACTTTTCAACTTAATTTGGATGTATTTTATTTAATAGTGCTTTAATTATATTTTTAATTTTTTTAATTTTTTTTATAACTTTTTGGCTTACCTAAGACCTGCCTGTTTAGACCGGGTGAACCGGCCGGTTTCCAAGTTCGATTTTTCTAACACTACTCATTACTACATTGGTAGGGTAACATATTTAAAACTCCTAAAATGCCCTTCTAAATCTCCAAAAGGCGTCGGAAAAGAAAATCACAAACCGCTGCAGAGAGTTAACGGCCACTGACCTCCTGTTCCCTACTTGAAACTCTCTCTCTCTCTCTCTCTCTATCGTTTATTCTTGCAACTGGCCGCGGTTTTCAATGAACTTCGAGACAAATATTTTTCTTTTAATTTTAAAAGATATCGGACGGACGCATATTGAGTTTGCTTGAGGAAGATGTAGGATGCCGGATTTCCAAAACCTGAGAACCGCCTTATTGGACCATGGCACCCACCTCTTTCAATTGCCGACGAACCAGCTTTCAACTCTCTAATTTGTTACGGCCTCGTGTGCGCCAAAATGGATTAGTTTATTTTCTCTGTTACTGTTTCAACTGCAAGTCCTTTCCATTTCATTGGTCGTTGAACGGAAGGTTTAGATTTTTAGAAAAAAGTGATGAATTCAATTGTCATGCTTTTCTCAGTCGCCATGTTTTTCTTTAAGGAAATCAGAGTTCTTCTCAGGTAGATCTTTACCCATTTTTTAAGGAAGATATGAATGGTG